CAGAAAACACAATAATAATGGGGGATTTCAATTACCTTCATATTGCCTGGGAACATGTCACCTCAGGATGGGATGCAGAGATAAAATGCCTAGACACCATAGATAAATGCTTCTTGGAGTATCAAGTCCTGGAGCCCGCAAGGGGAGTGACCATTCTTGGTTTAGTCATAAGTGGAGCACAGAATCTGGTCCAAAAAGTAATAATGACCACAATGTAATTAAATTTAACATCCCTGTAGGGGGAAAATGCTAAAGAAGCCCACCAGAGCAGTATTTAACTTCAACCATAATAGAAGCTCAAACTAAATGTTTACCCAAAATAATAATAAAAAAAAAACTTGTACAAGAACCATGGCCAAACAGCAGACTAAAAGTGGTGGCAAAAGGCATCCTTTAAAAATTGGAAGTCAAAGCCTAGGGAAGAAAATAGAAAAGAGCATAAACTCCGTCAAGTCAAATGTAAAAGTACAAGGCGGGCCAAGAAAGAATTTGAAGAACTAACTAAGGCCACAAAAATGACAAGCAAAAAGCTTTTGAAGTATCTCAGAACGAGGAAGCCTGCCGAAAAGTCAGTGGGGCTACTGGATGATTCTGGTGCTAGGAAAACAAGGCTGTTGTGGTGAAGCTAAATGAATTCTTTGCATCGGTCTTCACTGTAGAGGGTGTGGGGGAGATTCCCTTTGCCCAGTCCATTCATTGTAGGTGACAGCTCTGAGGAACTGTCTCAGCTTGAGGCGTGAATAGAGGAGGTTTTGATAAATTAAACGGTAAGAAAGTCACCGGGCCCAGATGGTATTCGCCCAAGAGTTCTGAAGGAACGCCAATATGAACTTGCAGCAATACTAACTACGGCGTGTAAGCGATTGCATACATCGGCCTATGTCCAAGATGGCTGGAGCGTAGCTAATGTAACGCTTGCTTTTGAAAAAGGCCTTAACGGGCGATTTTGGCAATTACAGCCAGCTAAATGTGATGCGTTGGGGGACTAGTCCCTTTTGTAACGGGAACTCATGCCAGCCCACTTTATTAGCCTGACACAAAACATGTGCACATGTCAGCAAGCATGTGGACAAGGGGAAGCCAGTCAATATAGTGTACTGTTTATAGTACAGTGGACTTGTAGAAAGCATTTGACAAGGTCCTGCACCAAAGGCTCTTAAGCAAAGTTAGCAGTCATGGATAAGAGGGCAGGTCTGCTCATGGATCCGTAACTGGTTAAAAGACAGGACCCAAAGGGTAGGAATAAATGGTCAGTTTTTACAATGGTGAGCAGTAAATAGGAGGGTCCCCCAAGAAGCTGCACGGGGCCCTGTGCTGTTCAATGTATTCATTAATGAGCTGGAAAAAGGAGAGAACAGTGAAGTGGCAAAATTTGCAGACACTACAAAATGTTAAGGCAAAGCTGACTGCGAAGTTACAAAGGGACCTCACTAAACTGGGTAACAAAATGGCAGATGAAATTCAATGCTGATAAATGCAAAGTAATGCACATTGGAAAACATAATCCCAACCATACATATAAAATGATGGGGTCTAAATTAGCTGTTACCACTCAAGAAAGCTCTTGGAGTCATTGTGGATAGTTCTCTGAAAACAGCCACTCAATGAAGTTCACAGAATGTTAGGAATCATTAGGAAAGAGATAGGTAATAAAACAGAAAATATCATAATGCCACTATAGAAATCCAGGATATGCCCAGCCTTCGAATACTGGGTGCAGTTTTGGTCACCCTATCTCAAAAAATGGTATATTAGCATTGGAAAAGCTACAGAGAAGGGCAATGAAAATGATTAGGGGTATGGAACAGCTTCCATACGAGGCGAGAGTAAAAAAGGCTGGGACGTCTCAGCTTAGAAGCACTGACTAAGCGGGGATATAATAGGGGGCTATAAAATCAAGAATGGTCTGGTGAAAGTGAATAGGGACGTGTTATTTACCGCCCTAAACATAACACAAGAACCAGGAATCACCCTATGAAATTAATAGGCAGAAAGTTTAAAACAACCAAAAGGCAACACAACACACAGTCAACCTGTGGAACTCATTGCCACGAGATGTTGTAAAGGTCAGCAGCGGGTTTAAAACAAATACAAGGAAGTTCTTCTTCACGCAGCACACAGTTAACTTGTGGAACTCCTTACCTGAGGAGGTTGTGAAGGCTAGGACTATAACAGAGTTTAAAAGAGAACTGGATAAATTCATGGTGGTTAAGTCCATTAATGGCTATTAGCCAGGATGGTTAAGGAATGGTGTCCCTAGCCTCTGTCTGTCAGAGGATGGAGATGGATGGCAGGAGAGAGATCACTTGATCATTGCCTGTTGGTCCACTCCCTCTGGGGCACCTGGCATTGGCCACTGTCGGTAGACAAGATACTGGGCTGGATGGACCTTTGGCCTGACCCGGTACAGCCTTTCTTATGTTCTTATGTCAAGAGTATTAATCAGGTACGTTCTTGGAGCACAGGTCTGACAATGGCAATTCACCAAGATGATCAGGGATGCAACCCCATACTCTGGATGTCCCTGAACAGAAGCTGGGATTGGCTGTCAGGCAGAGGCCATGTGTGTGTGTGTGTGTGTGGAGGGGGAATGCAGGGATCATGTGCCCCCCCACCCCCCAATTTGCTGCTTGGCTTGTACTGAGCACGCTCAGTAACACTGCTGAAGATAGCTGCCCTCACTGCCCCATCCCCACTATCAGCCGGCACGGGTCAGCTCTGCTGTCAGGGGATGGGTGACTCAATAATCGCCCTGTTCTGTTCATTCCCTCTGAAGCCCCTGGCACTGGGCACGGTCAGGGACAGGACACCGGGCTGACCGAGGACGGCGTTCTTAACTTCCTGACAGTGGCCGTGGGCTGAGACACTCAACAGACTAGGTGTTGAGCAGCCGCCACTCCCGTTGACTTCACTGTGGTCCACGGGAAGTGAGAGTTGATGGCACCTCGCAGACCTGGGCCCATGAGGGGGGGTGCTTTGTAAGGCAGAGGTCCAGGCTTACTGGCTGTGGGTGGGCTGCAAACAAAGGCTTACAGAGAGTGGCAAAGCCTGTGGGTGTCCTGCAGGGCTGAAGCCTGGTTTATTTACTAAAGGGAACTTTATCTTCCGCAGCAAATGCTCATTTGTTCTCACTAGCCATAGAAAGGACCAGTGTGAAGACTACACTTTGCATATCAACTCAGCGCTTCTCCCTCCCGCCCCCCATTGCCTGTCTCTGATTTCCTCACTTTTTTAAGTACATTCAAAGCATCTATTCTCTCTGCCACCGCTCTAGGGTTGCCAGGCATCCGGTTTACGGCCGGAATGCCCGGTCGAAAAGGGACCCTGGCAGCTCCAGTCAGCACCGCTGACCGGGCTGTTAAAAGTCTGGTCGGTGGCGTGGCAGGGCTAAGGCAGGCTCCCTATCTGCCCTGGCTCTGCACGGCTCCCGGAAGTGACCATCATGTCCAGCCCCTAGGCACAGAGGTGACCAGGGGGCTCCATGAGCTGCCCCCACACCTAGCGCCGGCTCCGCAGCTCCCATTGGCCAGGAACCGCAGCCAATGGGAGCTGCAGGGGTGGCGCCTGCAGCCAGGGGCAGTGTGCAAAGCTGCCTGGCCGCCCTTCCAGCTATGGGCCACAAGGACATGCCGGCTGCTTCCAGGAGCTGCCTGAGGTAACCCCCCTCCCAGAGCCCAACCCAGCCCGGAGCACCCTCCTGCACCCCAAACCCCTCATACTCTGGCCCCACCCCAGAGCCCGCACCCCTAGCTGGAGCTCTCACCTCTCCTGCACCACAACCCCCTGCCCCAGCCCGGTGAAAATGAGCAAAGGTGGGGGAGAGTGAGCAAGGGAGGGGGATGGATTGAGCGGGGGTGGGGCATTGGGAAGGGGCGGGGCAAGGGTGTTTGGTTTTCTGCAATCAGAAAGTTGGCAACCCTACCCTCACAGGGTGCTTGAGTTGGTAGGTGTGTGCCACACTGCCCCTTCCAATCTGCTATGCTCAGCTCCCCTTCCAAGGGAAACCTGCCAGGGAGCTGGGGCGGACCGACTGCTCGGGCAATGAGAATCCAGGGGAGACCCAACTCCTAGGGATTGTGTCGGGCCCCCGACTGGTCATGCAGCTCTGTGGAGATGTTCAGGGCCTCGCAGGGGGACCCTCGGCTTGGGACTCGAACATGGACTGAGTGAAAAATATAGGGAGCATAAGAGTGCTCGCTGAGAGGTCAGCTGATTGGCAAGGAAAATGTTCTAGTATCCCCTCTCCCTCTCCCCACCTTCCCCTCTCTCTGCCCCACTCCTCAGACCCCTCTTTCTCTCTCCCATGTGCACATACACCCCGCAAATACTGAGCTCTTCCTCCTTTCTATTCAACAGCAGGTATTTTTCTAGCTTTATTTCCTCTCCACCAATTCGATGTTCTAACCCCTAATAAACATAACCATTTCCCCTGGTGGGACCTGAAAACCTAGTTCTGAACGTCTTCTGGCACCTACTAACAGTAAAAAATGTTGTGTGGAGGAGGACGGCATAAAGCTCTCTCTCCATCTTCAAACATGCTCAAATACCGCTAGCAACAACAAACAATTACATGCTGCGCTACCAGGATTGGCAAAGCCAATTGCACAATCGCTAGTTCAGGGCCTGTGACTGTCAGAATCCTAATTCGGATGGGCCATATTTTATTAATATTGGAGGAAACAGAATCATAATCCATCCTTCCCTTTTCTGCCCTGTGGAAACCCAGATCGTCTGCTTGGGAAAAGGACTGGAATGATGTGGGTTTGTGCGTGAGAGCAAAGAATAACACAAAAGCACAGAGAAGTCAGTTTTTAGAGCCTGGCTTGTTTTCAGCATATCATGTGTTAAGGTCAATTCTCCAAAAGCTTTTTTTATTTTTAAAGGTAACATCTTTATTGTTATTATTATTATTATGTATTAGTTAATAATTATTTATTATTACTATGCAGAGAAGAGATTTTTCCTTTTGATCAAAGAGCAAACAGTTTGCGTTTAAAATGTTAATGGAGTCCTGATTTAAAACATTTTTTCTTCGTTTTTTTTGTTTGTTTTGAAACGTTGCAACAGGCAAGATTTGGGAGTCGATTTCCTCATCCTACACGAAGAAAGATGTTTGAGTTCAGAATCCTAGCCGCTACCGGTAGGTCCTGCCTTGCTCAGTTTCTTGTCGTCTCGGTGTGGTTTCGCCGGCAGGGTGGGGAGGTGAGTGGGAAGGGAAGAATTGGAAGAGAGGGAGAGGGGTGTTTGTCAGTTATGTCGAGTCCTGGTTAACAACTTTGCCTCCGTTCATGGTTGGTGTCCCTGAACTTTTTCTTGAGCGTCCTTGTTTTTCTCCAATTTCATGCAGCGATGGCTCTCTGTACATGCACACTGCCAACAGAAAGGGCGACAATTAGCTTTCACACTATCCCAGAGACAGAGTTCTTGGACCACAATTAGCATTTGCTTATGTGTGGGGCATTTTTTCCCTAAACTAGTCTCCTCCTCCCCTGCCCCCTTTCCCGCCACACACACGCAGATAAGCCTGAATATCCCAGTAATATATTCCTTTATTATTCACGGTTCTCTGCCTGTGCTGGCAGTCAGACCCTTTTAAATCTACCCCCTCCCAGAGGCACAAATACAAGTGAAGGATTTCTGGTCTCTCACAGATAAGGCTCTTTACTCTCCATGTTTTTTATGACATACAAATATATACACACATAAAATGAACATCTCGATTCACAACATTGCACATTAGCTCACAATGCCAATATTAGCAGCAGATCAACAAGTTAGCCCCTTTCCCCTGTCCTTAATCTCTGACAAGAAACAATGAGACCCCCAAAACTAACAAGGAATGGTGTCCCTAGCCTCTGTCTGTCAGAGGGTGGAGATGGATGGCAGGAGAGAGATCACTTGATCATTGCCTGTTAGGTTCACTCCCTCTGGGGCACCTGGCATTGGCCACTGTCGGTAGACAGGATACTGGGCTAGATGGACCTTTGGTCTGACCCAGTACGGCCGTTCTTATGTTCTTAACAAACTTTTGCATCCTGGCCCACCTTGCAGGGACTTCAAGCTCCAGATTGTGGTTCCAACTGAAACCCACTTTGTCCCCTCCAGCCATAAACAGAGCATTTCAGTCAGTGTCTCTGCTATTTAACTCACTGCAGACCAGAATATGCCATGCTCTTAAGTGGCTGTGCAGCAAAGTAGGAAGGAGAAAGGATCCCCTCCCTTGGGTGGCCATGTAGGAGGTGCGGGCATCGCAGGTCTGGGAGAAACACTTCCCCGCTCCCCCTGGGAGCAACCTGGTGGGGAGTGGACAGAGCCTAGAGCGGTGGCAGAGAGAATAGATGCTTTGAATGTACTTAAAAAAGTGAGGAAATCAGAGACAGGCAATGGGGGGCGAGGGGGAGAAGCGCTGAATTGATATGCAAAGTGTAGTCTTCACACTGGTCCTTTCTATGGCTAGTGAGAACAAATGAGCATTTGCTGCGGAAGATAAAGTTCCCTTTAGTAAATAAACCAGGCTTCAGCCCTGCAGGACACCCACAGGCTTTGCCACTCTCTGTGCCGCCCCTTCCCCCCATGAGGCAGTCAGCAGAAGGGGCTGGCCATGCAGGAAGGGGAGTTTATGGCCTCCTATAAAAAGCTGCCCTATTACTCCTCCCTGCAGTGCAGCTTGAGAGACAAGGAGAAATTGTCCCTCTCTGAGACCCAGCACCAGCCCACACCCTGCCTGGGGCGATGCGCCTACCCGCTGTCTCTATCTAAGGGCTGCATGTGTATAGCATGATCTAGCCCTGAGAAAGGCAGGAGTACACACAGACTCAGTGCAGGGTCTCAGGAGTTAGCGCCATAAGGCCACTCTTCAACCCGGCATTGCTCTAAGAGTCACCAAAATAGCCATGTTTCAAGGCCCAATATGCTGGGGACGAGAACGGGAGACGGGGTCAGCTTGCAAATCTCCCCCCGCCCCATTCTGGGGATGTTAGGCCTGATCCTGCCAGCCTTACATCTTTGCCTGTGCAAAGCAGGCCGTCCGTCCGTCCGTCCGTCCCGAGTTGCTAGAGAATTGTCGCGGAAACGACTGCAGACCGTGTAAAGCAGGGGAGAAGCGAGCCTGCAACGCTTCGGTTCTGGCTCATCGTCAAGAACATAAACACAACATAAAACAAACTAATTCCATTCCAAAATAGCTGAAGAAATGAAAACAGTCTTCATCTACAGAAAGATGAATTGAGTCCTTATGTTTATAGCCTTTCCCTGATTTAGGAATAACTCCTGCCCCTTAGGGCTAGATTGAAATGGCACGGGTACTTTGCATTTTACTCCGATCTAGATAAACATTTATAGTGAGGCATAACAATACAAGGCAGAGATGAAGTGCCGTCAGGTGTGCACTAATGTAACTGATGTTGCATTGCAAACTTGACCAATGAAAAATACTATTTTGACCATACAGCACCTTCCCTCCAAGGCTCTCCAAGCACTTTAAATACACACAATAACTAGGCCTCATAACACCCCTTTGAGGTAGGTAAAATGATCAAGAAAACCATTTTCAGATGGAAAAAGAAAAGCAAAGAGAATAAGGAACTTACCCGAGTTTGCACATTGAGTCAGTGCCAGAACTGGGCATAAAATCTAGGAATTCTGCCCTGCCGGCCACTAGACTGACACAAACTGTGCACACATCCATGTCATCACCATTACTGCCAAATAGCCCCTGCCTGTGTTGCTTCGCTTTTGCCTTGCACATAGCATCATCATTTGCCTCCACTCCAAGTGCTCCCCATGCGCCCCAGTAGCTCTGGGCTGCCCCTTGGGCTAGGCAGTGAAGGATCAACGTTTGACTTGTGGGCTAGTCCCACAGCTTTGGCAGTCGCGTGAGTGTGAAATGGCGGAGGGCTGGGTGGCGAAATCAGCCTCTCACATCTCCTGCTGTCTCTCACAATTCCCATCTCCACTAGCTTTGGAGCTGGAATCCCATTCACCCAGGGACAGGTTGGTTCAATGAGTCACTCAGCTATCAGGCAAAGCAGGCTATCCATAGGGCAAACTGGTTCAGTCTTGTCAATAAGCCACAACTAATGCTCTCTTGTGCACCACATATCCACACGGGAGTTTCCTTCCCTGCCAGGAGCACCTTGTATGTACAAGTGAAGGGCACTGCTTACAGAACAACCCCAGAACGCCCCCACCGCACCACACCTCGCTTTGCTGGTGTGCTAGTGAGGCATCCAAAGCTGTGGGGAAAATGGCATCTCCGGGGACAGAAGCAAGAACAACAATCCTACGTAAATAGCACGCTCTCGTCATGGGCTAATTAGGCCTCCCAGCACCTCTTGATAAGCAATGAAGCCTGTGCATAGTCCATAGTTCTGATGGGGCACATGACGGAGGTTCTGGGAACCCAGAAGTTTGGTTCACCGGATCTCAGATCAAGGGGGCTAATGCTGGGGGCTTGAGACTCCCCTTTCTCGCTCCGCTGTAAATCAGGTGTCGCTCCACGACAGGAGGTGGAGATCCCAGTGTGCTGGGAGAAAGCTGGTGGTGCTGAGAGCATGGCCCAGGCCTGTATGTGTATGTCTGCCTTCCACGGGAGTGCGGTTAGCTGTTTGGAGCCATCCAGCTGACGCACTGTATCGGACGTAGCCAAAGAGGGGGAAGGAATTAATGCTCAAAGAGAGAGAGTGCAAGAATCGATCCCCTTCACAAACAGGGTAACGGTTTATCCCACGGTATTGATCTCGTGCCTGGAAAGTGGATAACGATGCTGAGAGAGAATAATGGCAGAACTAACTTAACTCTATAATAACCGACTGGAGCAAGTCCCCCACCATACACACTTCCCTGTCCCTCCCCGCTTCTACCATATAATCCCACATCCCCATTTCATTGGGCACTGTTGGCTGCTGGGCGTCCGAGCAGCACACACCACTTGGGAGCTCTCACGCCAATGGGAGCACCGTGTAGAAGAACCAAACTCAACGTCCCTACTCTAGTGGGTGCGGCACAGCTGGGGAGGGAACAGTACATGCCCCTGGCTCTGCCCCAGTCCTGGCTTGCCCCACCCATAGCATCATTGGAGGGACACCACCACTCCACATGCAGAACTTTGCCCGGGGTGTCGCCCCCCCCGAGACATGGGAGGAGGGTCACTTGTGTTAGTCAATGCTCCACTGAAGAGATTTAATTGACTTAACACCAGATGTGGGAAGGGAGTCAGGTCATTATGCACCTTGGTTTTCTGCCTTAATGAATGCAATGAAGGCTGGAAGGAAATCCCAGCTGATATGAGTTGCAGACGGTTGAGCTCGTCTCTACCTGGCAGCTAAACACGCAGGACGCCGCCAAATGGAACCACAGCACGTCCATGGGTGACAGCACTTTTATTACCAAACGCCAAGGAAACACCTGCTGAAAGTGATCCCTCTTCTTCCTTCAGGATCTAGCTTGAGGGTTTCAGTGGCTGCCCAGAGAAGCAAGCATGGGAGAGACTCTGTGCGAAATCCTGCATTTCTAGGGCCCTGACGACACAAGAAAACCAGCTGTGTTTAGCAAAGGCTAATGAACAGGTTTTTAGATGCTGCTTCTTCTTAGCATATGCACAACATGCCTCAGGTGGCACGTGACCAGGATTCATCCCAAATTTGGTCCGCTGGTTGGATCATTAGCTGCCCCGGCCTGGGCCGGGTACTGATGGGCAGTGTGACGTGAACGCTGATCCATGCCCCCCTAAATGCTGTTCAGCGCCTACTAGAAGCAAAGACAATGATCTGTGTTTACTGGGGCTGAACTTGCAACATCTTCCTAATGCGGACAGCGCCTGGCAGAGAAATTCCCCCTTGCCACTTCACCGTGGCGACAGAGGGCTCTGATCTAGCAGAACTGGAGTAGTTCCACTATGGGAAAGGGGTTGGGGAAGAGTCGGGGGCCTCTGTATGATGCCCCTTGCACCCCAGCCTGCCAGGAAGGCAGGGAGGTGGTAGGACCAGGCGACCCACGGGCCATTCACCACCACAGAGGAGGTCTGCCCAAACCAAGCTGCAATAGCAGGCCTGGGGCCTCTGTGCTGAGTGAAGGAAGAGCTGCACGCTGGTTCCAGGGCCTAGTGCTAGGAAAGGGGAAATGCGGGAACTTTAGAGAGTGAAGCAGGAAATACCCCCACCAAGGGGCAGAGTGGATATAAGCAGCCAAGTATTCCCACTGTATCCAAAGCCAATGGCAGGGAATGGAAAGACTCCCATTGGCTTGGGGGGGGGAGGGGCAAAGGATCGGTTCCGTGCCTGAGGCTGTAGACAGAGATTGAAATGGCTTTAAAAGGTTGTACCGGGCCCAAGCGGTGATTCCACGCATGCCAATTGGCCTGGCTCAGGCCGCAAGCTCACGTCTTAATGACTCCTTGAGTTCAGGCCACAGCAACCAAACATTACAATATCAAAAGAAGTGTGCAGTGGGTGTGTTTGTATCCCAAACTGGCACCTTGCCATACATTAACTAAGGATCCCCAAATACCCTTCAGGTTGTAGGACTTGAAAGCATTTTTGTAGCGTCACCGGGCCTTAAAACTTGCCTCTTCTGTATAGAAAATGCCATTTTAAGGCATTTTCGGAGGTGTTTTGCGTTTATTAGTTTTCTGCCTGTTAGCACTTGTACTGGAGAACTTCTGAATCCAGAAGCAACCGTTTTACCAGTTGAAGTAAAAGAACACATTTCCCTTAGCTGTTAGCTATTGGAGCACGGAGCTTTTGGTGTTTTTGCAGTTCTTGTTTAAACTAAGTTGTCATGTAGTTTTGTGCACACTGGTAAACTGCTGCCAAGTTTCACCCCAGAGGTGGCTGCCATTCAGTGGTGGGTGACGTGATTTCTGTATATGTAGTTTGTGATGCCTTTCTTCTCCAGCAGGCAAAAATCCTCCTCAACAGACACACCGCCCAGCACTAACTCTCATGGCCTTCATGGGGGTCACATTCCCAAATGAAGAGGAAGGCTGGTTCAATGGTTAAGGCACTAGCCTTGGTCTTGGAAGACCTGACTTCCATTCCCAGTTCTCCCACAGATTTCCTGTGTGACCTTGGGTGTGTCTCTTAATTGCTCTGTGCCTCAGTTCCCCCTCTTCAGAATAGAGATAATAGCCTTGCCCTGCTGTAGGGGCATTTCAAGGGTCAGAGGGAGGTCAGACCAAAGAGGCAGAGGTAGAAAGGGAACTGCAGAAGAGAAGCGGCTGGGAGGGAGGGTCTCCTGCAGTGGTCCCTGGAGAAGACAGCTGGGGCTTTGGGAGAAGGCAAGGAGAGCAGCCTAGCCCTTGCATTTCCTCCTGCTGCCCCGACAACAGAAAGGGACAGTACCTCCCGGGGGAGGGGCTGTGCCCACTATCAGGCAGGGGGTAAGATTTGTTTTTGTGTTAGGGTTTTTGTAACTTTGTGTTAATAAAGAAACTAGACCCCAAGTAGGGCTGCGATTGGATGAGCAAGACTGGGTGGAGTTTTGAAGAAGGGAAAGTGAAGCAGTGCCCTGTGGAGGTCCCCCTGGCCATGAGGGCTGCTCAGACAGGAGCCACCCTACTACGGTCGCCCACAAAGGATCGGGGCGCTCTAGGGCTGGTGGAGCTACAAAACCAGGACGAGAGGTAAACAGTCCCACACGCAGCCTTGGGGGAGAACGGTGCTATACAGGTCACCTCCTTCCGTCCCCCGGCCCCTAGAGGGCCATCCGGGGTCTTCACCCTGGCCGGGAAGTTCCCGTAAAATATTCTGTGCCCATCTCAGATTTATGGGTGGGGGTGGAACGGAGCCAACTTCACTCCAACCCCTCTGCTGCCGACCACTCATCTTCGGCTTGGGAACAGAGCCCTCCGCGCGCCGCGGCCCCAGACAGCGGAAGGCTTTGGCAGGCTGACATGTGCCTGTGCTTGGGGGGCAGCCAACTCTTGGATGCAGCAGCGGGCAGCAAAGCAGCCCAGGGGAGGACTCCTTAAAGCGGCTGCTGGGCTCTAAAGTGCTCGCCTGCTCGCTCTGGAGGACAGCGACGACTGACGCTCGCGCCGGCGGAGGCATGCAGGCGAGGGAAAGGAACGCCAGGGCCGCGCTGGGCTTTCGGAAACCGAAGCAGCAGCAGCAGCATCTACTGTAATGAGAATGCGGCCCTGAGTCAGGCCTCTGTGCCTCCCAGCTGTGTGGCATCCATCTCCCAGTGACATCCGCCCACCGTGCACCGACTGGGCCCCGCGCAAAAACCCAAATACTTAGCAGCAAACGGAATCGCTCGCTTTAAGGGACCCCCCACCGCACACAGCCAGGCAGCACCGAAATACCTGCCACAAGGGCAAACCCAGCTGCTGTTGGGGAAACCACTCCAGTCCCAAACGGACTGGGGACGGGGGGTGAGGAGGAGACAGACAAGAAAGCGGTGGGGGAGGCCAGGTGAGATAAACAGGCCGGCTGCATACTCCAGTGGCGGCCACTGTGGGCTCCAGGGAGGGAGTCCCACAAATGAGCATCCTCGACTCAGAGCCAGTGACTGGCAGGCGCAGAGGCTCAGGCCTAGGTTCTGCATCGGTTTCTGCTAATGACCTTGACGATATAGCTGGGGGGGAGGGTTTGCAGGGGAGTTCACATGTGGTCTGGAATTCATCTGTCTCAGCCACCTGCCTGAAGGGGTTTCCTGACATTCATCTCCACTCTTCAGAGAGCCCAACCTCCTCCTCCACGCAAAGGACAACGCATTCTGGGAGCAGCACCGAAAAGCTGAAGCCATTTCCGCCCTTGCCCTGAGCCCCTGACAGCTCCAGAGTCAGAGCCTGGGCTCTGTTCTGCTATTTCTGTTAGCAAGAGAGAAAACGCTTCCTAATTCAAACCATCCATCCCAGGCAAACCCCCCAGCAGTGCCTCGGCTGCCTGCATGCCGGCTGCACTGGCGTTAGATTGGTGCCGCGGTGTGTGCGGGCTCCTAGAAGGGTAACGCTGGTTCTATCAGTCCAGCTTGTGCAAGTAAATTTACCAACACAAGCTAAACTGCTGTAAGCCGGGTTTAAGCCGACATACGTGTCCACACACGCAGTGCCACTGGCCTAATTACATCAGGGTAAAAACTGCACCTTTAGTTACACTGGCGGAATTGTGTGTGTTGACCAGCCCTCAGCATCTCTCTCTCTTTCTCTCGCTCTTATTTTCTTTCCTCCCTCCTTTCCGTTTGCCCTGATACGAAGTTTGGTTCTGGATTTCAGCCACTCATGCTAGGCAGAGTATCAGCGTCTGTCAGGGGTTTGTCTGCCCGCAAGTTTGCATCGGCTATCAGTGCAAAGCCCGTGTGGACAGTCTTACGTCAGCTTTTTGCAGTTTAACTGTAACCCACTGCTAACAGAGTTCAGCTAAACTGAAATAAGTGTGCTTTAAACCAAACGGCCTCGTGCCCTGGCTGAATGAAACCAGTTTAAAACCTCCACTTTTAGAGAGCAGGTGTAACTCTGGGTGAGTAGACAAGCCCTGGCAGGTGTGGAAGACATGGCGAAGCTGGAGAGAGCAATGCTAACCCATTGAAATATTCTTGTCTTAGGTAAATATTTCTGACACTGACAATACAGATCTAGGCCCCTCCCTCCTCCTTGAGGAATCTCTGTTGGGAACAAGACCATTCACTTTTTGTCACCCAGCAGGAGGAAAGCTCTGGGTTTGTTTCCAATGGAAAGTTAGTGCCTGTGAAGGGCACTAGGGTGAATAACCCTGGGGACCACAGGATGGGTGCATCAAGGCAAGCTGCCCCCGGGGTGTCAGGACAGGCTGGGTAGTTCGCTGTCTATGTCCCGGCTTTCTCACCGGAGACACATTCTGCAAGGTGGATACCCGGGTGACTCGGAATTGGACTGAGATTTCCCCAGACTCTTGACAAGGGCTTCCAAGGAGCTATCAGAGACGGCAACACATTGTGGCCACTTCAGACAAAGGTTGTATTTGAACTTATGACCTAGGTACAAGGTTCGACCATCCCTGTACTATGCTCTTTACTCAGCCCGTGGCCCCCGTTTGGTTGGGGTTCACAGCTCGTTCTCTAGTAACCCAACCTGCCGGCTCGCGTTTTGGGACGCACTGCGGGGCTCACAGCAAAGGCAGACAGGCTCCAGTATTGATGTTGCAGCGTGTTTCAACTCGGAAGCTCTTACACCGCTGTCCCGGTCTGCTGAACTACGGTACAGTCCGCCTCCCCTCTACCCCTTACCCCCCGGGGCTCACATCTGCCCCATGGGACAGAGCGTGGGAACTTTTCATACCTTCAATGGGTTTGGGTACAAAATGGGACGAGGCTTTGGTTTTTTTCACCCGGTTCCCCTTCATAATTTGACCTTCTTTATTGAGCCCCAGGAACCACGCTCGTCCAGACTCCTGCTGCCGATACAGTGTGGAAGAATAAATAACGTAGTAGTTTTCAAAGACCGATTCCTTAAATTTGCACTCTGGTGTGAAAATCTCCTGCAGGGAGAGAGAGAACACAAAGCAATGGAAGGAATTAATCACTAATCACTTAAACCAGGCATCACTGGGAGATAATCAATGTTCTCTGTTGTTACAGCCAGTTTAATGAGAGAGAGAGAGAGAAATATACAGAGAGAGCAGTAATATAGGGAGAGCAAGAATATGTAGATCTAGAAACTATCCCCTAAAATGGAAGGCTCTATGGTTGATTGTGAACCATACCCCTATGCTGTTAAGAGAGCTTGCAGTGGATGTGCTTTCAAAGTGCTTGCACACCCAGCTTGCACAGATATGGACCATTGCACATCCAAGCCTGGATCAGCGGGTGCAAGGAGCCCTGGAGAGTTTTGGAAGCCCTGTGGCTAGGTGTTTCTGTAGGAGCAATCTAGAGTGTGTTTGATAATTGCCGTATAAAAGGGGGGACGCAGCATCACGGCTCTGTCACTCCTCTTCTTTTCCGGTCCCTGCCTGGCCTCCCCAACAAGGTCTGCAAGCGTGTGGCTGCAAGCATCAAAAACGGCGATCTCACTAAACAAATGCAGAATCCATCTTCTGGCAAAAGGCCGCTGTGAAGGGAGGGGGTGCAAGGGATGATAAGAGATGGGGGTTTAAGCTCCAAATTGCATTTTATTTTTTAAAAAGTGGGGCACCGAGGAAATGAGGGAACAAAGTCTGGAAATGTTTGAATACGAAAAAAAAAAACAGATAAATGAAAATTGGTTTCAAAATGTAACCCCCATTTCCCCAGTCCCAACAGCACTGGGCTCAGTCCTGACCAAGAAGCGAAAATGGCTAGAAAGAGACAGCATTCGATCCCTGCTCCTGCGACAGCCCCTACAGACCCTTCAGTGAGGCTGCCAACATGCTCTCTACATACCACAATTAAAAGGGAGCCTTTGGAGCTTTCAGTATCACTCCGGGTTATAGTACTATCCCCAAGTGGTTTGGGGGGGATTACATAAACTATTGCTGGTATGGCAATAAATCTGATACGCAACAGACCTGCATGGGCAGTCGGCCTTGAAGCCAGAGAAGATAAAGTGCAGCAGAAAATGTCCAGTTCCTGGCTGCATGTAGTGAAGTCGATACCAATCATTAGCACCCCACACATTGAAAATGAAAAAAAAACAACCCAAATCAATGGATTGTTTGGCCATGTGTGATGCAATCTCTCTGGTTTCCTTAAAAATCAGTATTTCTGAGGGTGAGAGGAGGGGATGCAATGGGACCAGAATGGCCTTCCCCAGTCCTTTAGAAAGGTATATGAGGCAGTTTTCCAGTTATCAGTGTTTCAGGCAATCTCCCGATATCGGTTCTCTATAGTCACTGCCGTGACGGGCAGACAAAAAACACCCAGCCATTGCCCCGACTTGGAGTACACAGCTTACGTGGGGTGGAGACACAGGCCTCTTATATTGGTGTTTCCCCCTCAACTCTGCAGTGACCGATTCTGTGCTCTAAGATCCGTGAGAGTTGAGTGCTGGGCCACACACACTAACAAAGAAGAGAGAAATTATATTTCCCCAGTGCTTACCCCTCTAAGATCTCAAAGTACCTTACCAAGGCGGGGAAGCCTTATTATCCCCTGAAACTCCTATCATGGTCTGCCTCAATCTTCGTGGTCTCACAGTTAGACTGGGAGTGAGAGTACCAGAGGGTTAGTCCAGATTTCACCTTGGGGAAACCATTTGCTCTGTGACATTTGGCAAGTCATTTCCCCTCTGCGTGCCTCAGTTTCACCATCTAAACATTGAGATATAGTGCTCCTCTCCCTTTATAGACTTATGCCTTGGTTTGTAGTCAGTAATGTTTAGACACCAAGGGGTCAGACTCTTTTAGAAATACTAGCAATCAGATTCATAGGTTGTATTTAAATAATCCAATTATTATTATTTGTATTGTGGTAGCCACTAGCCTCATGGTGCTAAGTACAGTACAAACATACAAAAGAAATGGCCCTGGCCCCAAGGAACTTATAACCTAAATCAGGGTGGATTTGTCCCTTGCATTCACATGCTGCTAAAACAAACTGCTCTCCTCTAAAAGCAAAACATCTACAAAATGTAAAGGAAGGTTGTAAGGCAGCAAAATAACCGTGCAGGAATCGCAAGATGGGAGTCCATATTTATCCTCTTTCACTGATTCCTTACAAAACGGGCTCCGTTCATGTTAAAAGACAGAGGTTTCTCTCCAACGGCCACTCCTGCCAATGCGTCCTGGGATCTTGAAACCCACTGTGCTCTTTCGGACTCAGACTTTGTCACTAGCAATAAAGATTCTGCACCGGGAATTTAGCTGATGCCTTTGTTGATATAAATAAGGCAGACCAACATCCACCTCATTCTCCCAAAACGGCATTGGCTCTGCGAGGGTAAGAACAACAAACCTTTGCTTTAGGCTGCTCAGTGAGCAAATCTGACTAGAAGATGCAAAGGATGTAGATATGTTGGGGGAAAGAGTCCATTTTTCCAGTTACTTTTCCTGTTATTGACCGGACGTGGGACCAGATTCTGAAGTCACTCACACCTGTGTAAATCTGGAATAACTCCAGTGGCAGCTGATATCAAAGACTCCTCTGGGGAAACACAAAGTGATCATAAAATATAGAAAGCAACAGAGGGTCCTGTGGCACCTTTAAGACTAACAGATGTATTGGAGCATAAGCTTTCGTGGATGCCGACGAAGTGGGTATTCACCCATGAAAGCTTATGCTCCAATACATCTGTTAGTCTTAAAGGTGCCACAGGACTCTCTGTTGCTTTTTACAGATCCAGACTAACACGGCTCCCCCTCTGATACTTGATATAAAATATAGAGAGTGTTTTTGGTATCCCCCTGTCACTAACGCAGGTAACAAACAACAAATGGAATTTAAGCCACTTTTCCAAGGACGATAGCATGTCCTGTCGGGGACAGACAGACAGATCAGTTTCTTCTGCTTGGTGGTGGTGGTAAATGTCACGCCCTTGAGTGTTGGCATCACGTTTCTGGTGGGGCCATTCGCTGATGTCGTTGAGGATGCTGATAAGAGGTGATTGAAGCTGTCCACCCTGCTTGTTCAATAGATGTCCTAACAAACTTGACACAGGCGGGTTATTTCATCTCAACGCTGGGAATAGTCTATGATGTGTATTACTTTTAGCTGCTAATTTTACTAAGACTCTTGAGTGCTACAAAGCAGGGGAAGGCTATTAAGATAATACCAGCAGATCCTCTACCAGCTTTACTGTCAAAGTTAATTATATTAACTCAAGCAAGAAACTGTTGTTTCACTTATCTCAGTCTGAGTAGAGCTGCAAAGAAAGGGAATAACTGGAGATGTACTTAAATGGTTTCACACTAATAGGCTAGTTCTTACCACAAATACTGCACTGACCGAACTATCTGGCAATTTTGTTTTTCTTCTTGTTTTCAGAAATGCAGTAAGCTACTAGCCTGAGATGGAACAGCTGGGGTGGGGTGGGCTGGGGTGGGGTGGGGCGTGTGGCCTTTTTTAAAGTCAAGTTAGTGCTGGTGAAATACGCCAGGTGGGCCTCCCTGGAGGCAAAGTCCTCTCCCAATGCAACAGGGAGGGCACCAGCAGCACTAGTTCCCCACACCATCCTCCCAATGTGTCTCAGCCCTCCTCTCTGAGGGAGAACAGGGAATCTCCACGGTTTTTCAGCACCTGATTCGCCCTACCTAGTGTGACCCCTGCCTGCTTGGTGTGGCGCTCTGTCCCCCTCGAGTGGCACCTCGCCTAGCTAGAGGTGGAGGAGTCTGCCCCAGCGTTGGCTAGGAGCTGTGTGGCTTTTAGCTCATGCAGTAGAGCTGGGGTGGGCAAAATTTTTAGCCCAAGGGCCATATCTGGGTATGGAAATTGTATGGTGGGCCATGAATGCTCATGAAATTGGGGTTGGAGTGTGGGAGGGGGTGAGGGATCCGGCTGGGGGTGCGGGCGCTGGGGTGGGGTCAGAAATGAGGAGTTCGGAGGGCGGGAGTGGGCTCCAGGCTGGGGCAGTGGGTTGGGGTGAGGGCTCCAGCTGGGGGCAGGGGGTTGAGGTGCAGAAGGGTGGGACCGAGGGGTTCGGAGGGCGGGAGGGGGCTCCGGGCTGGGGCAGGGAGTTGAGGTGCAGGAGGGTGGGACCGAGGGGTTCGGAGGGCGGGAGGGGGCTCCGGGCTGGGGCAGGGGGTTGGGGCGCTGGAGGGGGCCAGGGGTACAGGCTCCGGGCAGCGCTTACCTCAAGCAGTTCCTGGAAGCAGCGGCATGTCCCCCCTCCAGCTTCTCTGCAGAGGCACGGCCAGGCGGCTCTTTGCACTGCCCCATCCGCAGGCGCTGTCTCTGCAGCTCCCATTGGCTGCGGTTGCCAGCCAATGGGAGCTGCAGAGGTGGCGCTTGGGGCAGGGGCAGCGTGTGGAGCCCCCTGGCTTCCCCTACACGTAGGAGCTGGAGGGGGGACATGCTGCTGCTTCAGGGAGCCGCGCGGAGCCACAGCACACGTGGAGCCAAGCAAGCCCTGGACCTCTCTCCCCGGCAGGAGCTTGAGGGCCGGATTAAAACATCCCCCGGGCCGTAGGTTGCCCGCCCCATAGTAGAAGCTCCTACACTAAGCTTCAGAGGTCCCAGGTTTGATCCCAACAGTCGTCGGTTTTACTCTTGCATTTGGTACAGCCATTTACACCTCTTCCAAATGGGAAGTAAACACTCCTGAGTCAGTGCCTTACATGCACTCTGCTCAGGAGACGACAGCCATACAGGGTGCAAGGTGGGGAAGAGTCAGGGAGGGAGGGTTCAGCTTTCGTCTTCTGACTCTTGGGGTGTTTTTTATTCATGAATTTATTCCCTGCCGTGCCTCCACTGACTCCCACCACTCATTTCACACCGGCCCCCAAACACTCATCACATGTTAAAGACTACAGCTGGAAAAAAAAAAAGTTTGTTGAACCATTTTTTGGGACAAAAAACAGCTTTTCAAGGAACATAAATATTTTTGCAAAAAGATTTCATTTGGTTGAAA